GTGCTGCGCCGGGCCGCCTAGTGCGTGCGCTGCCATCCTGCTGGCAGGCCTGTGCCCGCGGCGGGATGTGGGTGGGCTTCCTCAGGGCATGGACCCTCCTGGCAAGGGCTCGTCTGGTGTACCCTCTGTCTGGAGCCCATCTCATAGCCCTTGAGGCCCCAGGCCTGGGACCCTGCCCCGGTCTGCTGACACCTTCCGCCCCAGGCAGGGCGCCTCCTCTGTTCTCAGCCCCGCCAGGTGTCTTGGTCAGGGGACTCTGATCTCCTGATGTGGAGTGTGGCCCCGAGCCCGCCCTCTCCAGCTGCTGTGCTGGCCCTCCTGGGCCAGGAGCATTTCTTCCAGCAGCATCAGAGCGATCTTCTCACTGCCTGGGTTACCGCCCCAGCCGAGGCAGGTGTAGGGGCTGCGGAGGCCCTGCAAGGCCAAGGGGAGCAGCCACTGCAGCCCTCACAGGTGGCTTTGCCCTCTGTCCCTGACTTCTTTCCTGAAGCCCTGCATGGGCCCAGAGTCATCAGGCCACTGCTGCCTGGGACACTATCTCTCCTGAACATGGAGGTGACCACAGAGGGCCCCAGGGTGGACCAAAGTGGGAGGAGGAAAGGCAGAGTGGGCCCTGCCTCCTGCTCCCAGGTGCTGTCCAGGGTCCTGGCTCCCTCTAACCCGTCCCTGCTGTTCTGTGGCCTCCAGGCCACCCCTCATCACTGCTCCCCGACACACGGTCCGCCCGAGCAGGCCTCCCTGCCCTGCCCACCCCTGTGAGTGTCCTTGTCACCTAGGGGACACCGGCTGTGTCCAGCAACCTTGCTGGGGCGGGGGCAGGTGTCAGGGTGGGGCCCAAGGGGAGGAGGGCAGCTCTGCATGGGCGTGGCTGAGGCTCTCCCGTTCCCTCCTGCAGAGTGTCCGGAGGGGACGTTTGGCCTGAACTGCTCAGGCTCCTGCTCCTGTGGGGGAGCCTCCTGTGACAGAGTCACAGGGCAGTGCCTGTGCCCGCCTGGGAGGACGGGTGGCGACTGTGGGGCAGGTGAGCGGTAGCTGGACCCTGGGGGCCCCTTGCCCCACCCCGTGCTGGCTGCATGACTCCCAGCCGTGTTCGCAGACCCTGGCCCTGGGCAGTGTTTGGGGAACCCTGGCCCCAGCCTTGGAGGCCTGCAGACCCCAGGCCTGTCCACAGCAGCTGCAAGAGCTCACACCTACCAGCCTTGGGTCTGGACGTGGGGTCTGTGCCTCCCCATGGCCCTGCCCATGCAGGGGCACCGGGAACCTGTTGGCCGTGGGGACATCTTGGCCAGCAGCCCCCAGCCCTCCCTGGGCCTGTGGTTTGTCTTCTAAGCTGCCTGTTCGCTGCATGGGGGTCTCCCCATCTCTCTGGTGGGCCCCCCATTTTGCCTGTGGAGCCATCCTGGGCCAGGGGCCCCCATCCTGGGGCTGGGCACCTGTAGCCTGTGGCCCCAAGGGGGATGGGTTCCCATGACCTGCCCGTTTCCCTCCCCTGGGACAGCTCAGGTGGGAACAGGGGTTCCTGCTTGCACACGGGCCCAGCTAGGCCCCGCGGGAGACTGACTGGCTGTTGGGGGTGGGGGCTAGATTGTCCTGAGGGCCGCTGGGGGCTCGGGTGCCAGGAGATCTGCCCGGCCTGCGAGCACGGTGCTGCCTGTGAGCCTGAGACCGGAGCCTGCCTGTGCCGTCCCGGCTACACGGGCAGCCGCTGCCAGGACCGTGAGTGCCGCCCCCCCGACCTCAGCCCGCGCCTGCGATCCCCCAGCCCCACCGCGCTCACAATCCCTCCACCTGCAGCGTGCCCGGCAGGCTGGTTTGGGCCCAGCTGCCAGACCAGGTGCTCCTGTGCCAATGATGGGCACTGCCACCCGGAGACGGGACGTTGCAGCTGTGCCCCTGGGTGGACCGGCCTCAGCTGCCAGAGAGGTAGCGCCCCCCACAAGCCCCGCCCCGGATAAGCCTTCCCCCAGGCCCCTCCCCCGGCCTGGCTGTGCGCCCGTGGGCTCTGCCGGGCCTGCTCGGGGTGACCTGGCCTCTATTGCAGCCTGTGACAGCGGGCACTGGGGACCTGACTGCAGCCATACCTGCACCTGCATCCCAGGCCACGGGAGCTGCGACGCCGTCAATGGCCTGTGCCTGTGTGAGCCTGGCTACGTGGGCCCGCAGTGCGAGGAGCGTGAGTCCTGGCCCAGCCCACACGTGTGCACACACGGGCACATGCACACGCACACAAGCACGTGTCAGGGACCCAGTCCTGCCCTCCTGTCCACAGGCAGGCTGCCTGGACTAGGCCCCTCTCTCCCACCTGCCAAACGGAAGGCCCACCTGGAGCAGTAGGCAGGGCAGGGTGGGGCCAGTTGCACCACACGGGGCACCTGGCACCTGCAGGAGGGGTGGACGGTTCTGCTAAGGACTGAGACCATGCCCTTCAGTGTATACTCCCCACCCCCGGCTGAGTTGGTGGGTCCGGGCTGGAGCTGGGGCTCCCTCCTCCCCAGGGCTCAGCTCCTGGCTGGGCCAGGGGGCAGAGGCAGAGGCCTTGGGCGGGGAGGTGCTTTTCCTGCCCCACAGTCCCAGGCCTGGACTGGGTGGCAGAGGCCTGGGCAGGGCTGGGTCAGGTTCACTGTCCCCTGGCTGACGGTCTGGTGTCTCAGGGTGTCCCCAGGGCCACTTTGGGCCGGGTTGTGAGCGGCAGTGCCAGTGTGAGCACGGAGCAGCCTGCGACCATGTCAGTGGGGCCTGCACCTGCCCAGCTGGCTGGAGGGGAACCTTCTGCGAGCGCGGTGAGCTGGGGCTGGGGCTGGGGTGGCCGGGAGCAAGGGCGGGGCCCGTGAGCCCTGGCCGGCACCTGTATCACCGCCCCTGCCTGCAGCCTGCCCGGCCGGCTTCTCTGGAGTGGACTGCCGCCATGCCTGTGACTGCAGCCCCGGGGTCCCCTGCGATGCCGTGAGCGGCTCCTGCCTCTGCCCTGCTGGCCGTCGGGGCCCCCGCTGCGCCCAGAGTGCGTGAGGCCCCGTCGTCCCTGGGTGCTGCCGGTTAGGGCTGGGGTGGGGTTAGGGTTAGTTTCTGTCTGTGTTCGCCCTGAATGGTGCCCAGGCCAGAAGGAGGGCAGATGGACAGCAGCCGCCCGGGACCGCTTGCTGCAGCCCCTCCCAGGGTCCATTTCCCCAGGCCCCTGACCGCCCCTCTCTCCTGCAGCCTGCCCGGCCCACACGTATGGGCACAACTGCAGCCAGGCCTGCTCCTGCTTTAATGGGGCCTCCTGTGACCCTGTCCACGGGCAGTGCCGCTGTGGCCCTGGCTGGACTGGGCCTGCCTGCCTGCAGGGTAAGCCCCTCCCGGGAGGCTGGGCCGGGCATCATGCTTGCCCCTCACTGGGCTGTGCAGGGTGACGTAGGGTGGGATGCTGGGTGGATGTAAAGCTCACCGGGAATGGTGAGTGGGGAGGACCGGGGCCCGTCACGCCCCCACGGGGCTCCCCTCAGCCCGGGCCACACCCCTCACCCGTGAGCCCTGGGATGCTGGGTTGGTGGGCCCGGGGAGCCCTGGGCAGGTCGTCCTAGAGAAAGCCCTGGGCAAGAGCCTGGTGTTAGGCCTTGAGGCAGGCCTGCAGATCCGCCTGGGCTGGCCCTCCACGGAGAGAGAGGTTCAGGCCCCCGCTGGCTAGTGGGATGCTGCGAGTGGCTCCTCTCCCTGTGCCCCAGCCTGCCCCGCTGGCTTCTATGGCGAGAACTGTCAGCATTCCTGCCTCTGCCAGCACGGGGGCACCTGCGACCCTGTCTCAGGTCACTGTACCTGCCCGGAGGGCTGGGCCGGCCAGGCCTGTGAGATGGGTGAGCACTGGGCAGGTGGCGGAGGGAGGGGGGACCCTGGGGATCTGTGGGACCCAGAGCCAGCACCCAACGTGCCCTGGCATGGCCCCTCTCCCTCCGTGGCCAAAGACGGCTGCCTGGTGTAGAGCGACGTGGTCCTGGGTGTGGCTTGCAGTGTGGCCAGACAGCAGCCTCGCCCCTCACTGGGCACCTCTTCTTCCCGAGGACATGGGATCCCGGGCTCTGGATAAGGAAGGGTGGGCGGGGCGGGAGGGGCCTCCTGGGTCCCAGTGGCATTGCCCTGCCCCAGGAGTGGACCCTCCGCCGTTCCCGCCTCCACAGAGTGCCTCCCAGGGTCCTTTGGAGCCGGCTGCCAGCGCCGCTGCACGTGCCTCAATGGCGGCCTCTGTGACCGGCACACAGGCCGCTGCCTCTGCCCGGCCGGCTGGGCCGGGGACCAGTGCCAGAACCGTGAGTGGGGCAGGTTAGGGGCCAGTGTGGGGAGGTCCAGAGGCTCCCAGGCCCATCCAGGGTGGCCTCAGGCTCACCCAGGGTGTGGGGGCCTCACTGAGGGGGTCAGCTGTCAGGTCAGGGGCGAGGCTGCTGTCTGAGCTCCAGGGCCCCCTGAGGGAGGTCCTCTGCCCAGGACGCCGGCCCTGGAGCAAGACTCAGCCCGCCCGCCTGCCTCCTTCCGCACAGCCTGTGCCGAGGGCACGTTCGGGGTCGGCTGTGAAGAGCGCTGTGCCTGCCTGCAGGGAGCCACCTGCCACCGCGTCACGGGGGCCTGCCTCTGCTCCCCGGGATGGAGGGGCTTGCGGTGTGAGAACGGTGAGCCCCTGGCTCCGCCAGCACCCAGGGTTGGGTGGGGCCCTCACACTGTGACCCCCGGGGCCCGTGCTGGTCCAGGCTCCCCCCCACCGCCGCCCGCGCCTCCCCGCAGCCTGCCCACGGGGCTGGTTTGGAGAGTCCTGTGCCCAACGCTGTCAGTGCCCGCCTGGCGCCGCCTGCCACCACGTCACTGGGGAGTGTCACTGCCCCCCCGGCTTCACAGGGCCCGGCTGTGAGCAAGGTAGGTGACCCAGCTGGGTGGGCCCAGGTGGTGGGCGGTTCAGGCCGCCCCTGTGCTGTGCCTCTAAACCTCTACCTCTAGAAGGGGTAGTGGGAGTGACTCTGGGAGGATGCCTGCTCTGGGCCGGACCCGGACTGACCCCCTCCCGCCTGCGCCCCAGCCTGCCCGCCCGACACCTTTGGGGAGAACTGTGGGCAGACGTGCCAGTGTCCCGGCGAGAACCAGGCCTGCCACCCTGCCTCGGGGGCCTGCGCGTGTGCTGCTGGCTACCAGGGCACTGGCTGCCGGCAACGTGAGTGCCTCTTGCTGGGCCTGCATCTGAGGGCCGGGGGGGTGGGAAGTCGGGGCACTGTTCTGAGGGGGCAGGTTGAGCCCCTAGCCCCTGACAGCTGGCCCTTCCCCTGCAGGGTGCCTGCCAGGGCGGTTCGGACCTGGCTGTGAACAGCTGTGTGGGTGTCTCAACGGGGGCTCCTGTGACCCGGCCACAGGGGCCTGCCGCTGCCCTGCTGGGTTCCTCGGGACAGACTGCGGCCTCGGTGAGTGACTGGGGTGAGGGTGGGGCTGGCTCCTCCCTGCGCCACGGTGGGCAGGGCCCCACCAGCCCGCCTGCGGGGAGGACAGCTCCCTGGCCACCCCTCTTTCTGGCCCCCCTTCCCGGGACTGGTCCCAGGCTGGGCTGAGCTGGGGCTGTCGGTGTGACCAAAGTGTCCCCAACCACCAGCTCTGCAGGGCCATGACCACCAGGGGCCACACAGAAGCCAGTTGGGCACCCTGCCGAGAGATGGGCCTTCCTTGAGTCGCGCAGGAACTTCCCGCCCGTCTGGGGTCTTAGCTGGGCAGGCGGGAGGTGGGGGCGGGGGCCGTGGTGAGTCATCGTTGCTGCGGTGCAGGCCCAGCCCGCAGCAGAGCCCGCGGGTGGAGGGAGGTGTCGTGCGGGTGGGGGGCATGGAGCAGGCGGTCTCCGCCCTGTCTGGGCCAGACACAGGGCCTCCCCACCCAGCCTGGCCTGGCCTGGCCTGTCCCACCCTGTCCTGGGTTGACACAGCAGAGGGGGATCCAGCCAGGGCTGGTCACCCTCCCATTTCCTCCTGGCAGCCTGTCCACATGGCCGCTTTGGCCCCAGCTGTGCCCATGTGTGCAGGTGTGGGCAAGGGGTGGCCTGTGACCCCGTGACCGGCGCCTGCACCTGCCCCCCGGGAAGGACCGGCGTCCACTGTGAGCACGGTGAGAGTCTGTTCTGTCCCCTTGGCCACTTCGCAGACGTCACCTGGTCAGCCACAGGGTGGGAGGTGATGGGGTAAAGCTGGGGGGTCTCTGAGGGAGAACTGGGTCCCCTCGCTTGGTTCCTCAAGTGCCCTGAGGATGAGGTGAGGGTCCCGCCTGTGTTGACAGCACCGCCCACTCAGGTCCCTGGGTCGTCTGATAGCACCCCGTGCCCTGCTTTGACCTGTGACCCCTAAGACTTGGGACATCAGCTCCCTGTGGCTAGTGGGGGCTGGGCAGGTTCTGACTTGGAGCCCCCTAGCAGGAGGGCTCAGGTGGCTATTTTGTCTGAGGATGGAGCCAGCCTCCGGGCTAATGTCCTCTTGGAACGGGGTCCCTCTGGCCCTTTCTGCTGGGCCCAGCAGCTGGGGCCCCACATGGAGGGAGGGCTGGAGCACAGGCCATGGCGCCTGAGGACAGCGGTGGGGCTCATGCTCACGATGACAGGTCTGGTACCCACGCTACTCGGCCTGGCCCCATACCCGGGCAGATCTGAGCCCCTGCCACTCTGTGGTCCTCATCCAGGGGCCGGTGACACTCCCCCAGGGCCTGGAGCCCAGCTCCAGCCAGGCCATGTCCTCACCCTCAGGGAAGGCTGGCAGCCCCGGGTCAGGCAGGTTGTGAACAGGGGCCACCTGGAGTGCAGGGCTGCCCGGGCTATTCTTGAACTGAGTGCCACCGCCTCCAGGAAGACTTCCCTGTTGCCCTCCCGCCTGCTGGGCAGGCACTCGCAGCCCCTGGAGGGCCCAGGCCCCTTTCGTCCTGTGTTACTTTCAGGCTCAGGCCTGGTGTTCGCTCTCTGAGGGTGGTGAACAGGCGGGGTGCTGTTGGTGTTGCTCCTTGGCACATGTGTGCTCAGGGACAGGGACTGGCAATGAGAGGCCCAGGGAACTGTTTGTTGAGTGAACATCAGATCTCATGAGGGGGTGTCCCTGGAGTGTGTCCAGCCCTGGGCTGCGCTTTGAGCAATGCCTGGCTCCCCTTAGGCTGTCCCCAGAACCGGTTTGGTGTGAACTGTGAGCACGTGTGCTCCTGCAGAAACGGGGGCCTGTGTCACGCCGCCAACGGCAGCTGCTCCTGTGGCCTGGGCTGGATGGGGCCGCACTGTGAGCTGGGTGAGTGTCTGGGCGGGTCTGGAGGCCGCATCGCCATGTGAGCTGGCGGGTTGGTACCTGCAGGGGTGGGAGGCCATGTCCCGGTGTGGTGGCGGTGGTGGTGCAGGGGAATGGCCCTGGGCTCGAGGAGGAACGTATCTCAGGGGCATTTGTGGGGGCTCTGGGCTGCTATGGGGCTGCATGAGGCTCCCGGGGTCGCCTGGATCAGGCTAGCATGCCGGGGCCCTCCCCTGTGCCCCCTGCTCTCCTGCGGCAGAAGGTTGACCCACGGCTCTCACGCCAGCCTGCCCCGCAGGGCGCTACGGCCCTGCCTGCCGCCTGGAGTGCTCCTGCCACAGCCAGGGCACCTGCGAGCCCACCACGGGGGCCTGCCGCTGCGGCCCCGGCTTCTACGGCCAGGCCTGCGAGCACTGTGAGTCGTGGGGTTGGGCCCCTGTTCTGGCTTTCCGTGTCACCCCCCTGGGGCTCTGATGGAATGAGGCTTGACCCCAGCTTCTGCTAGGGCTCTCAGACCAGAGGTCCCCAGGTCAGGGCCACTGGGAAGCAGGTGCCCTGCCTGGGTGGGAGGGAGGGGAGCCCAGCCCTCCGCTCTGGGCAAGCTGAGTCCGGAGCTCTAACCGGGTCTCACACAGCCTGTCCCCCCGGCTTCCACGGGGCTGGCTGCCTGGGGACATGCTCATGTCAACACGGAGCCTCCTGCCACCCTGTCAGCGGCCAGTGTCTTTGCCCCGCTGGCTTCCGTGGCCAGTTCTGCGAGAGGGGTGAGTGCTCTGTGGCCCCACGAGCCCCCACCATCCCCTGCCCTGGCCCTGGCCGGTCCGGGAATGGGACAGGTGATGTGGGACCCCCTCCTGCTACCAGGGTGTGAGCCTGGCTCGTTTGGAGAAGACTGCAGCCAGCAGTGTGACTGCGAGGACGGGGTGCCCTGTGACCCCGTCACGGGCCACTGCCTATGCCCCCCGGGGCGCACCGGGGCCACCTGTGACCTTGGTGAGTCTGGGGTCCCTCTCAGTGGGGGATACGGATGCAGGTCTCAGTCAGTGGTATCCACTGTGTTGGTGGATCCACGTCCGATGCCCGCCCAGGCCTCTGCACCAGTCCCATCCCTCTGTGGAGCCCCGCTGCTCAAAGAGGGGCCCGGCATGGAGCCCTTGCCTGGGGCTGTCAAGGCCAGCCCTGCTCTCTGACCCCTAGTAGAGTACCCCGGGTGGCCTCTCCTTGGGGAGGTCATGGGGAGAGGCTACCGTTAGGTGGGGAGGAGACTGTCTGGGTCTGTCAGCCCACCCGGGGAGAGGGAGGAGCCCACCTGTGCGGGCCGCACACGCGTCCTCCTCCTGGCTCTGGGCCGTCTTGCCCTGGGGGGGAGCATCCCTGGCTCCAGCGCCCCTTTGCCGGCCTGGGGGCTGGGCAGCAATGCTGGGCAATGGTCCTGGGCAGGTGCTGGGGGCCTGGTGCTTCCCCACACAGGACAAGGAAGCGAAGGCCCTAGGGTGGCCCCACGGCCTGGGGTTCCCAGCCCGGGCAGACAGGAGAGGTACTCAGGCTTGTCTCTCCCGCCCCTCTGCCCACAGGCTGCAGAAGGGGCTTCTTCGGGCCAGGCTGTGCCCTGCGCTGCTCCTGTGGGGGTGGGGCCGACTGTGACCCTGTCAGCGGGCAGTGCCACTGCGTGGACGGCTACACGGGGCACACGTGCCAGCAGGGTGAGTCAG